ATGGTATAGAGTCATGATGATGCATTCATCAGTAACACTAAATGTATAAAGACCAAAGCAGGAGAAGTATTTGTTGTTCATAAAGGGATAACTGATTAGGATATTAGAAAAAAAAATTGTGCCAGTATAATTTATTTTGCACACAAAACTCATATTGAAAATACAGGTAACCACTTGCAGTAACCTGTTCATTTAAAATACTGTAACTGGTAAACTTCAAGTACACGTGTTATAATTCCTGAATATCAGATTTATCCAAGGTTGCAGAAGGAGGTAGAATGTTTTATGAGTGTGGATTTTTTAACAAATCATTTCATATTTTTGACCTGGTTCCTGTAACATACGAAACTGATAATCAATAATGCTTAATCCGTCAACAAAATTGCTAAGAAAGACATTCTGGTTCAAAGCACACTCCAGCTTATATGCCAAGTGTCTTTTACTCAGACAACAAATAGATTACTTAGGGATGTGATCGTATACAAACTGTATATAATCTGAACGCCTATGGCTATGTTGCTGAAGTCCAGTTATTAATGAATCTATGATCTTGACATTCTTTATTGTATACATAACCTGGTACATATAAAAATACCTGTACATAGGTCTACCAAATGCTACGGTATTTACTCACTCAATTACAATACAATAAAAAGTAATAGCACCATCAATTTTGGAGAGATATCAGTTCCAAGTGATTTTTTTTTTTTTTTTTTTTTTTTTTTTAATTTTGCAAATATGATTTATATATAAACTAAACTTAAAACTGTTAACAAACCATTCATGAGGCAACATATTTTACCTTGCTTATATAATTCCCAAAAATAGTAATTTAAATATTATAACAATTGTAAGTGATATTCTTATAATAAAATTCATACAGTGAATGGCTCATTATGAATTCAGTAATGCAACTGTGTTCTATATATATATCCCCTACAGTTACTGATAACAAGTTCATATTTGCATTATTGTTAAGATGAAATAAACACTTCTGAGGTATTGTGTGTATTGAAACTGAAGAAAAAAAGGAAAGCTACAGGAACATATGAGACTTCATATAATATAAGCTTTGAGGTATTGTTTTCACTGATTGTTTTTGTTTAGCTGAGGTGATAAGGATGTAAACCTTCAATAAAAATATAAATTTTGAACTATTGCATACATTCTGAGTTACTAACCACTATACACATGAGGTAGCAGACACATATTTGTTGAACAAAATAGGTACTGTATTCTTAAAAAAACGAGTGAAGAGAAAACAAAAAAGTCGGTATACATGCTGCTGAAAAATTAAATTACAGTGTTTGAATTAATGAATCAACTACCTCAATATATAGCAAGAAGTAACCAAAATGGAACATGGGATATTGTATTAGGTAGTGAGAGGACACTAGAAAATTATATGTTACAACTTAAGCTATAGATATATACATATCTATACAGACCCAATGCCTAAAGTTCGACTTGATTATATGCAAACAGTTGTGTAGCCTGATTCTGAGCTCTGGTTGGCGGGCTACATTTGCATACCTGAGACAGCCTATCAACACTCAGAACCAGGCATCTTGAACATGTGCTCTCTCTCAAGCTGAACTTTTGAAACTTGACCAACATGTATTTACAGAGTGTAGAAGTCCTGAGTGCAATCTTAAACATCCTGAATTAATACCCGACATTAAATTTCTTTTGTGAGACTTTACAATGCTATAGATGAGGGATTCTTTGACAAATACACAGCACCAACTTGGTCACATTTAACAAATTGCAGTTATAGTTGGATCATAGAGCAAACAATATTTCTTTGTTATAAAGAGAAAAATTGGTCCAAATTTTAGCTTTTTTATACATACTTGTGGAAAATCAGTACCTGTTATCAAAAAAGCTATTAATTTACATATTTCATATGAATTATGGTGTATTTTACAGATTTACTTGATGAAACTGTAAATTCATTATATCAATAATACTTGAACATTTTCATTATATATATATATATATATATATATATATATATATATATATATATATATATATATATATATATATATATATATGTTATATATATATATATGTTATATATATATATATATATATATATATATATATATATATATATATATATATATATATATATATATATATATATGTATATATATATATACACACACATACATATATATATATACATACATGTATATACACATACACACCCACCCAAACATACATAGACACACACACACACACACATATATGTGTGTGTGTGTGTGTGTGTGTGTGTGTGTGTGTGTGTGTGTGTGTGTGTGTGTGTGTGTGTGTGTGTGTGTGTGTGTGTGTGTGTGTGTATGTGTGTATGTGTGTATGTGTGTATGTGTGTATGTATGTATGTATGTATGTATGTATGTATGTATGTATGTATGTATGTATGTATGTATGTATGTATGTATGTATGTATTTGTGTGTGTGTGTGTGTATGTATGTATGTATGTATGTATACATGAATGTATGTATGTATACATGAATGTATGTATGTATGTATGTATGTATGTATGTTTGTATGTTTGTATGTATGTATGTATGTATGTATGTATGTATGTATGTATGTATGTATGTATATATATATGTATATATATATATATATATATATATATATATATATATATATATATATATATATATGTATATATATATATATATATATATATATATATATATATATATATATATATATATATATGTATATGTATATATATATATATATATATATATATATATATATATATATATATATATATATATATATATATATATATATCAGTTATATTTGATCAATAATTCATTTATTTATTGTCAAGCAAAAGGTCTGAAAACCCTTACAAATAAATTCATCTTTTTAGATTAGATTAAATTTTGGAAAACTGCTCACCATATTTTTTAGCACAAGCTGTGCAAGACATTAAAATCTTTCTCTGTTTATGCAATATTGATTTTACAGCATTGATCTTCATGTCAGAATCAGACTATTATAATCTCATTATAGTCGTTTATGTGACATATGAGTTGTAGATGCACACAATACTGAGTGAGTATGTAATTTGGTACCTCATGGAAAGTTCCCTTGCCACACTGCATTACATTAATGTCCTACTTAAATTATTAATGTCCTACTTAAATTAGAGTTAAAGAACAGGCTAGTATAGCTATATTATTAAACCTTAAAGTGTTTATTTTGTGAGTAAGTAATATAACTGTATAAATAATATATATTAAATGTCAAATATGTGTTAAGTGGATGATATACTGGGATTACTAGCCATAAGATGTCTGAACCTCTATCACTAGCAGATGCAATAACAGCCAGAGAACAATCATTGTGAGGATACCAAAGCGGCTTACAGGAATAACCCCCAACCCTGGGCATTTTAGTACTTTACAGGGGAAATTTTTACTCATATGCATTCATTATTAGAATGATAAATGCTTCTTTTTTACTGCATTTCCTTATTTAATACTTTTATTTGCTTTATGATCACTATTTCTTTATGCATGGGATAACTGTTTGATATGTATTTGCTATTACATTCCTGGAGTACAAAGTCATGCTACAAAGCTAAAAACATCACAGAGCCAAAACAGTTTATATGGCTTGGCTTGTGATAAGTCAATAGACCCACAGAAAACAATTTAGGTCATCACATGATTTTCATAAAGAAATTATTTTAAGCAACAAAATACAAAGGATCTTTTACTAATGTTTGCTATATTTAGTATTCAGCATATATATAAAAGTTAACTGAATATGAGTAAGATAGTGAAATATTTAACAGTAATATGTTTTGAAATCATTGTGAAAGATAAATCTTAATTAGAATAATAAAAACACATTTGAGAGTAACTCTAGTTCAGACAAAATACAATTCCCGTAGCAGTACTTCCTCTTGAGCAAAATTCAGTTATATATCAAAATTAAGTCAAACAAGTGTAGCAGCTAGTATGAAAATTGTACTAATTACTCAGTTATTGCATTTTTTACCATATAAATGTCATAAGATTTTTCTTTCAGAACTTATATCTAGTGTAATAGTGAATGCATGTAATTTGAAAGGCTCTCAAAGCATTCAAGCAACAAGGACAAAAATAATTGTCACCCTACTGCGTTATGGGAGTCATAGATATTCCAAAAAAGGAACGTTATGTGCTTACACAGTATAATCTCTTCTCTCCTTACTCTGATGACCCAAAGACAGATGATGTCTCTCATTCTTTAAGGCAAAAGTATGAAGAGTGCATAGACAGCAGAAGCAGAGTGCTTTTGTTTACAAAACTATAAATCATATTGATATTCAAAACATTTATACATCACATACATACCCACAAGTACCCAGACTTATTACAAGGACATTTGCTATTGCTAGGTAAAATTAGCTTCCATGTTTTGATTTGTTATATTAATAAGAAAAAAAATGCATTTTAATTCTGTCCAGGACAGACACCCAAAACCAAGAGCCCTCATTATAATGTGATAAATTAAGCCTCTCTTGTCATGCATATAATATTTAAAATGAGAATTTTGTTTAGCTTAAATTTGTGTATGCACGTAAAATATAAGACAGGGTTTGATTTTTTTTTATCATCACTTTTTTTCCTTTTTTTTACATTTTAAGTAATGATAAATTGCCTCCCTTAACTCTATGGATTTTTGCTTTAAAACATTTTCTGACTATACAACCCATATAAAAGTAAGTACTGCTATATTCTCTCCCATTTCAGATTATACACTGAAGAGGCATAAACTGAGGTTATTATATGTATTTTACACTTTGTACAACCTTCATGGCTTAGAATTTTTTTTGTAATTACTGAACCCCAAAATATAAACTATGTAGAAAAAATAATTAGCTCCGAGTCTAAAAGGATAATTACAGTTAACTTATTAAATATCACACATTCTCACAAAAAAATATATATACTTTTTTTTTTTTTTAACTGAGGGAATTCCT